GCCATCTGAAGCAAAGAGCGAACTTCCTGCGAACACTTTTTTGGCTGAGTGGCCCATCTTGTTATGTACTATCTTTGGTATCATGTAGCTTTTTTCAAGAGCATCGGAGCAAAGGAATGAATGCAGAACCATGATCGCCGATGTCTGTCTCAGATCTGGCACAGGATGATGACGAATTAAAGAATGCGTCATATGGCCAGTCATAGTTTTTCTTTCCATCTTTCTGGCGTAGATTTGTATTTTAATCTCCTAGACCCCATACTCTGGCGTATTTCCGGTACACTTTGGAGCGCATTACTGGCCGGAAGTTAGGGCCGAATGAAAAGCACAGAGAGTAGATGTCGCTCGCACTCTGTTATAGAGAGACTGGTCTTTGTATTCCTTACTTGTTTTCCTGTTTGCTTGTGCGAGTACTTTGAAGCACATCGGCACTAGAGAGGTCATTTGATGCAGGGCAAAAACTAAGACAGACAGGCCGGGATTATAACCAGAAAGTACAGAAGTAGAACCTGCCTGTCGCGCCCTCCAACCACCCCACAATCTGCATTCTCCACCATTAGCCTCTTCACCAACAGCAGCTCTCTGGGTTCGAATCTCAAATCTCGCAGCGCAAAAATAAAACAGCCAAATATGGGTTGAATGATGTTCAAATCAAAACCATCTGCGAAAATTCATTTTCCCTTCTATGGGACAAATACAACTCTTGGTTGACTATTTTATTTACGAATTTCCCCAGTTACCGCCCTTTGTATACAGGATTGGGCTGCTCTTCTTTCGCTTATTTCTCCCAGCGTGGGGGGCAGCATACGGTTCTCCGCGTCACGGAGCAGAAAGGCCAACTGTTGTGTTCATAAAATGTTACAGTAATTTTAATATTTTTACGGCCCGGTCGACAGGATTTTGGTTACTTCGTAAGCGACGGAGGGTGGGGGAGGGAGTTGTCTTTTTTTTTTAAAAGAACCTCGGACCACACCACGCCCCCGTCCCTCAAAGCCGCATACACCCACACACCCACACACTCACTCACTCGACGCATTCATTTTAAAATTAATATATACATGTATAATGATAAATAAAGTATGTATAAAAAAGATAGATCCGCAATCGTCCAATCTAAATATTGATTCTCTGCATTCATCTCTTAAAAAAACAACCCATATCCTCCACTGTCGAAGGTACAGTAGGCCGACACATCCACCCACGCATTCAAATTTCCGCTTTCATTTAAAAGTAAAGTTAAAAAAAAACCCAACCAAACAAAAAAACTACAAATCTCAGGAAGATCCTGCTATTGCTACTTCGGTAAACAGGCTATTTCTCAATCTCTCGTCTCACTCTTCGTGTCCTGAGACGAATCCTTTTCGCTAAATATAAACACCGCAATTAAAATCAGAACGGAACAGGAAATCACGCTCATGTTAGGGAGTAATCCGACCCACGTAAATGTTTCGATTAACCCAGGAAAAACCGCTCCAATCAGGATGGAAATTAGACAAATGAAGACAAGATTGGTGTAATTTAGCTGCTGGCACTAAATCAGACTTACGTAGATGAATAATGTTCCGATTGACGAGTTAGATCAGGCAGGTTCTACGCGAGGAGACGCCATTTATCGTTTGTCAGAAATTGTCTGTAAACATTCTAAACAAAGCTAATGATAAGTTGTTTTGATGCTATAATAATTCGTTTTGATGGGAGTACATGATGTATTGTGGTGAGGGAGTACATGATGTATTGTGGTGGCGTACGACGAAGGTGAAGGGAGTACAGTAAGTAACTGACGATGGGGGCGTAAAACATCCACAAATAGGATTTGAAAAATACGGTTGGAATCAAGCTGTTGATGAATCAACTCAAAAAGGCCCACCCACGTCAAAACATTCAAGTTTACTTAGATCTAATATAATAGTGTTCTTGTTTTTTACGAGCAAAAGAAAACAACAACAGCAACAATAATACAAACAAAAAAAACAGCTGACTAGGCTTTCAATAAATAACCAAAACAAATACAATATAACAATAATAAAAACAATAACAATGCCGATAAAAATAACCAAATCGCCGCCTTTTTCTTGACTTCTGTTCCTCTCCTTCTCTTCCCTGGCACAGAGCAACCGTCACTTGTACCTACACGTTACTTCCACCTACAACTACTACAACCCCGATACTTGTACTTGAAAGAGCAGGAAACAGACAACGTTCCCGCCATTTCCCTCAATCGCCAGGCCCCAAAGAACCCCCCGCCCGGGCCCCAACAGTCGGTCGTTACAACAGCCTTTTCGCGCTAATCAGCCGCCATCTCTCTCTCCCTCCCTCTCCCTCCTCCTAACCCAGCAGTAGCAGCTACCGTCGTCCCAGCCCCACGTCCGTGTGTGTGTGTGTGTGTGTGTGTGTGTGTGTGTGTGCCCGCCCGGGCAAGGCTAGGCCGACCCCGCCGCCTGGTGCACCCATTGCCCGGCTCCCTCAGACGGACACGCGCACACACACACACACGCGCACACACACACATAACAGCCACGCACATAGAGGAGAG